GATGTGGTTTTTACTTAAGTATAATTTTTAAAATATTTCAAAACCACATTTCCTTGCACGCATAACCGCGAAAACGAACACCAGTAAACTTGGGGCGAACCGACTTTGGGGCGAACTGACTTTGGGGCGAACTGGTCTGGGGCGAATGTGCATTGGGGCGAACTGACTGACCACCCATGCATCTTCTGTTGCAAATTTTACGTTGAACAAATACCTGCATCAAAACACAGTCCCTCTATCCCTGGTCTGGAAACGACTAGCGTTCTTTTGTCTCGAACCGCGTTGCGGGTAAACAAACCTTTCACACCCGGGCCGGGGGAGTCAGGAAGTCAGACAGATTACAATACCGTCAGAATATTCATTAAAATCGGCAAATCTACCGTCATGCAAAGCGATACCTCATTGTATGACTTCACTTTGACCTCAAATTAAGGCAAAAACAACGTAAACAAAACATGTGAACAAAATTAGCACTTTGGTCAAAACCAGCCTACCAACTCATAAACACCCTGTTCCTGCCATGTAAAGAATAATATCAGGAATTGTGTCCATCTTCTAGTGTCGCTGCTGATAAAACAGATAAATTAAAAAACTACTCGCCGGTTAAAATATGACCTTATAGAGATATCCTGATTAAAAAAATATGTGAAAAAGCTCAAATTCTGGAATAAACAACTAGTTATAAAAAAACACTTAGCAGTGACGATGTCAAAAAGAGTGACAGACTGTGTACTGATCACATGACAGTGCTTTGCGCATACCCACAACGCGCCTTTGCCATCAGGCATAGAAGGTGAGCAATTCACATCTAATACAATGACTGCTTCCAGACCGGGGATAGAGGGACTGTGATAAAAGACACGATGACGACATATGATAATGGACCAATGGTGTGACACCATGGGTGCTTTATAATATCGTCGTAGAAACAGAATTTTTACAAGGGGTTGACCTAGTCTTTTGGTGGCTGGGAATCGGAATCCAAATATATAGAAGGGTACTATTTATTATCATTGCTTTCCCGATTGGTCTACACTACTTTTCCAAAAAAAACATAGGTTAATAATTGTGGAAAATTGCCACTGTGCAGTTATCCAATGTAAAAATAAAAAATCATATGTTGCCTGGGGATACATATTGATACATTAATAACTATTTTTCCCAATCGCTAAGTTTATTCAAATAAGTGCAGTATTATGATAGGATTTAAGGTTAGCCCACACCAAATCCTACTTGCCCAAACTCAATTTGCCAAATACGCAACAAACTATATGTAATCATGGTCACATACTTATAATACATACATTTATTTATTATTTTATTATTTTTTTTTGTCATTGCCATTCTGATCATCGCGAACAATGAATGTGGTTTGTGGTAATTACAATAGACAATATAAATCTCTAGTTTTCTTATTACCACAGGTATACCTGTTCAAAAGAAACATTAGTTCATCTTAAGGTAGCGAGAAAGGTTTTGTGACGTTTTTAAATAAAACATTATCTGTCTGTTGTCTCGTTCAGAACAGTAATTTAGCTTGTATATTTCAAAAGACTAAGTATAGAGGTACAAGTTCGCACAAACTGGACAGTCATTGTTTACATAATTATCACGTGACATAAAAAATGGCGAACCTTGTAAAAATGACTAAGTCCGCGATTGCGAGAGCACACTGCGAAATTTCCTGGTGAAATTTACGTCATGCATTGTCCGTAATCAAGTCCATTGAAATGCGTCTCCGATAATCAAAAGAGCTATTATTCCGATTTCTATGCAG